TACATTGAACATTTTTAAACTTTGTATTAACTAACTTATTTGAGCTTTACCTACGCGTCTAATTCACATTTATCTCTTCTTTTTGTTATATTTATTACATTTAAGAAAGTTAAAATTCATACATTTGTAATTTTATATATTTACAGGTATTTTAGTATGCAATAGTACAATTTGATGACATGGAATTCTCTGTAGTTCCTATAATTTGGTTGGAAAAACCAAATTATTGTTACTGGTCTCAAGGAATAAAAAATATTAGAACTGCAATAGTTAAAGGAATACCTGTGCAAGATACTCGGAATAAATATAAATGCTGTATCATTAGTAAACATGGTAAGAGAATAAAATTAAACTAATGCTACATAGAATTTAGAAAAAATTATTTAAAAAAATAAAAATAATAATAATTAGAAGTTATTATTTTTTGCTATATTTAATTTTTATATACTTTTTGTTGCATATATTAAAAATTTATTTTTAAATAAATAAAAATTTAAATAAATAAAAATAAACGAATATATCCGAAATTAAAAATTTATAATATATAAAAATTTATGTTCTATATTTTTATAGCACTTTGATTGTGTTACTATTTATATATATAAAAAGTTATTTTTTATTATTTATATTAATAAAAAATTATGTATTATTTAATTTAAATCGTAATTATTATTTCTTATTTTTAGTTACTTATGAGTTAGCCTTAAAAGCTGAAAAAGAGGCTGTAGCTACGTCAGAATCTGAAATTGAACGACAATCAGGAAAAAGAAAAATTAAATCTAACAAACGTAATGATTATGTCGATTTTGTCGGTCCTCCAAATTTAGTCTCTTCGTGCAAGAACTCAGATAACACAAATACTGCAGGTAAACTTTTTAACTTACTTCATAATTATTATACATATGTGGCGGTACGACTGTACCGACACAAGTACGCGCCGCCTTGCGCGCGCGCCATTCGTACGGCGTAGCGCCTGAACAAGGGCTACCCGTAGTGCAAGCAACCCCCGCGAGAGCGCTGCAAAGAACGACCTTTGCACGAGCAAAAAGAAATTATTTAAACAATCCGCCAGGAGGCCTATTTTCTCGTAAGAGAAAAACGGTTCACCAGGGTA